CAGTCCTTCCCGGTCCGGGACCATTGCGCTGATTTGGGATTGCTATTGAGCCGATATCCAATCTTCAGAAGCCACTTACAGGGTGGGGTGGCAGTTACTACCACTTTTAGAAAAAATTGTTTGTTCACAACTGAATCCTCCCCGGTGGGTCTTTCAGGGAACTGCTTCAGTGGTTGCTCTCGAACTGCGTCTCTCACTATTGTTTTAAGGCAGTAAGGCGGTCCTACCAAAGTTGGACTCAGAGTTCAAATGAAGTACTTAGGAGCGATCTCTTAGTGTTTAGAGGGGCATTGACGGGTGATTGATGCCCAAATGGTACAACAAGGTTGATGCCAAAACACCTGGCCATGCCCGTCATGTGTTCCTCCGGCGTTTTGACCTCATCTCCTGCTGTCGAACTCCCCTCTACATCACCATCGCACTGCCTCACTCCCTCCTCTGTCGCCTTCCATTATCCTACCAATTACCGTCATTATTTACTTATCCTCAAACAGATAAGTACATAAACCCACTCATATTCATCCATTTTTTCCCCATGATACGTTTCTCCTTCCGCCACCGCCGGTATTTTTATCCGAATCCTCTTCAACCTTGTAGTCACCTGGTTATAAGATTGTTTCTTGATTCTCGATATTTACTATCCTCGTTGTCCTCGTTGCCTCCCGCCGTACTCCCAGATGTAAACTTTCTGCTACTTTCTAGTTTACATTACAGTACTACACAACGGGATGTGTTTGAAGCTGGCGCCACTCTAGCGCCTCCATCGACTTGCGCGTCAGCTGTTACCGAGCCCGTTAACTTGGACTACTGCCCGTCGATTACGTGGAGTTCTTCACACTCTCTTGATCTACCAGTGCGACTCTTCTTCATATTCTGGACGTACGTGGTTGCCGACGTGCCGTCCAGTGGTGGCAAAAATGGGTAACACTGCCACAAGCCAATCACAAAGTCGTAAGGACCATTCGCATTCGCAAGGATCCAACGCCACCGTTTACTCGAACGGAAGAGGACCGGCTCCAGAACGAAGTAAGGCATCTCATCAGTGTGCATGAGCGCTTCTGCTCCTTCGTTTTCTCAGCTGTTTTGTGCTGTGTTGTGCTTCATGAGTTGCATTCTGCTTGTGGATGTCCGTTCACGATTATATGTTGTGGTATTGCCCAAGTACATGCGTCCTTTGTGAGGGGGCCGCAAGGGCTCTTTTCGGGCAATAGCGGGATGCAGTTGATCTGATACGAGCGCAGCGGCGATGGGCTGCTGCGTGCTGTTGAAGATATACATATCTTGGAAGCTGTTTTTCGACTTGAGCGGCGTGTGCTTCCTCAGCGCTGCCGAGGCTGGCCATCCGGTCGGTCAACTGATTGGAACAGAGGAGAATGCAGGCAAAAAGAGGAGGTGAGCAGGGCGCAAAGGTAATAAGGCCTCCTTCCAGCCTCTGCTGGGCATCAGTGCCATAAGACTCTAGGAGCGCAGCCGGCCTTGAGCTTTTAAGCAGCTCTACCTCGGACTACTGCCGCTCACCACTTCACCGCCATTCGCATCACTTTCACCTGCCAACTCTTATCTCACATTGGTGATCGTTGCAAAGGGAAACGTTGCGTTGATGCGAACATACTCGATCGATACCAAAGCTGGTTTCCCGTCATTAATTTACACCCTATTCTTAGCGACAGTCTGTCATTTTTGATGGCCTTGCTGGCTAGACGTCATTCGCCGCCCTCACATTAACATTACTTATGCTCTCTTGACGTGACTTTGAACTAGCCCCAAAGGTGGCTCGCACTGGAAGAACTAGCCCTGATTTTAACGCCTACCTGCATCGAATGTGTATTAGTCAGCTCTGAATGTAGTCCTGGTCGTTTCTAGGGAATGCTGGCAGCTAGTTGAGCAGCTGCAGTCCTTGGTGATGGCACAGCTTGCATCTTTGAGTGGTCATCATCGACTTAGAGTATGTCCTCGGTGACTGCAAAGAGGATCAGTGCGACTCACAGCATCTGACCATCGCCGAAAAGCCTTCAGATCGATGGAGCACGCGTCGCGCCTCCATAGGCGCTGCGGCGGAGAACTCCCTTTTGGTTAGGACAAGCAGTGCAATGACGAGCAAAAGCGCATCAGGGCATTTTCCATAGGATGAACCTTAATCTGCACCGCCCTTTTGGTTGTATGGTGCATTTGAAAGAGAAACACGCGATTAGAAGTTTTTCTTATTGCCTTAGCTCGGATGACAAAGTGAAGAGTCCAAGAATGATGTTAAAGTGAGATAGGAGGAAGTGTAGGGGCCCATTGTCGATTGTTCGAGTTCGCCACTCTTTCCCCTCCACCTCCACTAGGGGTCCTAAGCTGTTTTGGCCTTGCAATTTGCAGCTTATCCTCGTCTCCACTCTCAGAATACCCGTAGTCACATTCCCTCTCGCCTCTGTTTTGTCACTCACTAAGACATCTCCCTTCCCCAATCGGCCTCCACACAATCTGCCCACGTTTCTATAGTTGCCATTAACATAGCTATTGCTCCCACTCGTTTCATTTTATCTGAATTCTATTAGGGCAGAAGCAATGAGAGCTCAGAGTTGTAAAGTTTAAATGAATTCTATCGGTTGGAAGACTGCAACAGACTGGTCTTTTTGCTTTTTTAATTTTGTTTTTTTTTTACATTTGACTCTTTTGGTGCTAATTATTGTGTTCTGCTCGATTGAGCTTCGAAGCCTTTCTATTACAAAAAAAGCATGACAAACTATGTTCTGAACAACAACCACTTCGCAATTTGATGAACTTAAGCTTTTTTTTCATGGAACCTAACGAGATTTGCGGTCACGGCCGGGGGCCGGCTGGTCATTGTGGAATAGACGTCAATACTACACTCATTTTTCTCTTTTGGGTGAAAAGGGCGGGCCGAATTGACTGGTTTAATTCATGGCGTTTCCGACTCGAATCTGGTGCTGCCATTTGAAAACAATGCATATGTATGCACTCTGCATGGTTCTCCCTCTTTCTCTTTCATCCCCCCTCAAGAAAGGTACCCCCCTTGCCACTGCAGCCACTAGCTCAGCTCTAAGGTCGTCCGTCTCCCAATGCCTCAGGGCAGCTCTGCTCGCTATTCGGAGTGCCGATTGGAAGTTTCAGAAAGTCTCGCAGCGAGGCGCAGACGACGGCCTCAATCCAAGCTGCCACATCGATACTCGCCTGTTACACAAACTTTTCTGACTCCTCAAACTTTTCTTCGCTTTCTCCTCAAGTTTTGTTTCCAGTCCTCATGCATCTTCTTCTGCTTCTTCAACTTTCAGACACTTATCAATCTGTTCTGTCTCACATCCGTCTTTTCTTTTCCTATCTCTTCTCACGTTCTCCACACAATATCTTCCCTTCCCAATGTCTTTCACCCCTTTTTTTATTGATCATGTTGTTTCATTGTTAATGAGGTTTGTGGCAGAAACAGCATGAATTTCCGATTGAAATAGTTCGGACTTATTGCGATGCAAATGACGCGATTGGCGTCCGAAACGGCGGACGGCTAAAGGCCAACATGATGGAAGGTGAATGTGACGACGATCGACCGCTTCATCCCCATGGTTGACGTCGCCGCTGCGACAATTGCAACCGGACACTTGCTGATAACCGAATCATTGATTAGAGTGCGTAGCGCGGCGCTCGATCGACACCTTCTGATCGTGGAATTTTCTCTTCTGCTCCTCACTTTTCGGCTGCTGTTTCGGATTTTCATTCATCGTTCTGACATCACTGTCCGTTTCTGCCGCCGGCTGCCACATTCGGTCGCCGTTGATCTTCCTTCGAACTTCAAAGCAAATGAATGCATGGCGGAATTGCACTTCGATTGCGCGATAGAGTTTCTTTCATTGAATTGTGCGGCGCCACTGGCTCCAATTAGGTTCGCCGTGCTGCTTCAGCGCCATTCTCATGCCGTTCTCTCGTTGAACTTGAATCGGCGATGCGTCCTTCGTCGTCTCGAGAGGCACTCGCCGCACTTTCTCTTCCATTCAAAGCCCCCGATGAAGAAGGCAGAGGTTCCCAAGCGGTTCCCGAGCTACTCATCAAATCCTGGATCCCCTTACTATGTTCCATCCGTTTATACGCAGTTGGAAACANACAACAATCACTCATTCTTTTGACCATTCAATTTCACTTTATCATCCATTAGTTGAGTGTTGTCGCCTAATGCACCACCAGCGAGCCCCACATCGTTTTGTTGTCATGAATCAGCTCTAATTCGGTTTTCATTAGTAGATGTCGGGGGCCAGGAATGGGCCTCGTTAGGTGCCAGCATTTGCGTGAACCCCACAGAACACTGGCAGAAACAAATAGATTAGCAAACATAGCTTTTTCGTGTTTCCTTTTGAGTTTCCTTCTCCACGTTTTTCTCAGTAATGCGCCGCAGGTCCTCAGCCAGCCTCACAAACTTGATTGCATTGAGAATTGTGGACCTCGCCATGACATCATGTGCTCGCCGTATTCTTCGTGTGAATGTTGACAGCGTCTTTAGTTATCATTTCCAGTGGTTCTATCTCATAAAGGCTATCAGTTTCGCAACGAAGATCATTCCGGTTTGATTTCCAAAAATAAACTTCTCATGGGAAATTTCTTTTGGATCCTATCAGTTTGGGGCGGAAAATTCAGAAAATATCAGCCGTGTGAAGACCTTCTTGTGTGAGGTTGAACTTTATATGAATTGGAGTCTGGGTACCGTGGTTCTCGGTCCTAATTTACTTATGTTGGAGGCAATTTAAGTATTTTTTACAAGTTTGAGGAAGGAAGGAGCTGTAGCGTTCAAAATTGGATTCACCTCTCTAGTGGAGTTGCCTTCAAAACTTCTCTGCCTAGCTCTTCAGCACCCACAAAGCCCAAATAAGTGTTTCTCGAAGCGGGACTTATGCGATACGACTATGCCTATTGATTTGGGCCATTTCTGGGAGAAACATGAGTTAACACATCGTTGAATGCAGCCGAATCCTATGAGGGAGCGCTTGAATGCACTTGTTGGCAGGAACCACCTACACGTCCACCCACCTCCGACCCTCTCTCTCCTTCTTCTTCTTCTTCTCCTTCTTCTTCTTCTTCTTCTTCTTCTTCTTCTTCTTCTTCTTCTTCTTCTTCCTCTTCTCTTTCTCAATCACCCTTTGTTAATGCCGATGTACGTTTTGATAACCTCCGCTATTCTGCCTTCCCTTAGCCATCCTGCGTCTGCCACTTCCAACTTCGTCTTGGCCCGACTCCCGCTCTAAACTTTCAATTCCGCTTTCGTCGACACTATAACCTCGCCACCAACAGTTCGACTAGAGCGGTCTCACATTATGCGCGCACGCTGTGAGTGATAAACGTCTGCATCGCCATCACCGCTCTAAAACACCGCTATCGACTCTTATCGATTGTATCGATTCAGTGTTTTGTTGTCTCACCTAAGTCGATACAGTTCAGTTTTCTGTTCGATGTAAATAGAATGTGATCAGACGTTTGATGGTGCGTCTCCTGGAAATGTTTACACTCATCGATCAAATGTTAATCCGACCTGTCCTCGGTAACTCCAGTTTTATCAAAGTTTCTGTCAGATGGTTTGCCACATCTGAGCACTTTCTCTTCTCTCATGTTCGAAGGAAGCCAACCCCATCAGCCTGGCTGGCGTGCTTAATGCCTCTTCTTTTCTTGAAGGAATTGATTGTCTGCTACTTGGCCTGTGAATCAGCAGCTTCTTCATCATTCCCTTCTGGCAGCACAGGCTACTAGTTTCTTATCTGACAACTTCCTCATGTTTCTGCATCAGTCATGATGTAAAGGATGAGGGAAAGAGCGAGGGGAGGGGGCAATGGCACATGGCCACCATTCCGGCGGGTTTCAAATTTCCAAACTCGCTTATGCTACGTACCCCGATTTCAGACCTCTCTTCATTGTTTCTGGCTCCCTCCTTTTTATGAGAAAACAGACTTTTCAGTAATGTTATGTTAGTTTTTGCCTATGACCGAAATGCTCCCTCTTGTGGCGTTTCAAAAAACTCGTTCTCTCAATAAATTTCCCATTACGCATAGTAGTCTCGCATGGTTGGGGTGTGTGTACAGGCTGGGAATTTGGCACTCTCCTCCTCTCCTCCATGTTCAGTCGCGCCCATCGTCCCGTTACAGATCGCCGTCGGGGCCGCAGAAGCATTAGCATAACTACTCATGCGATTACTGCTCTCGTCCTCTCATGCAAATCAATCAATGCACCTCTTTCATTCTGCCTACTCTTTAATTCCCTCTATTTGTTCTCCTTCGGCTAGGAAGCTCTTTGCCTTCTCATCGCAAACTTCTCAACGCCGTTTTTGTCGCTTGTACTCGTCCGTGTTGATCACAGTCGTTTTCTGCAGTGCGCAACGAATGAGCGACTAGGATTATGCTGAAATTTCTCAAAAACAAAACCTCCGATGAAGGTTCAAGCTCGAAGGAATCCAAGTCCTCTTCTGGAAGTGAGTTCCACCACCCGACTTCTATTGTTTATCTCTCTCTCTATACGTGAGTGATGGAAATGTGCATGTTTGGGCATCGCGCTCGTGAAGGCAACGATATCCGTCAGTGCCGAAGACGAGGATGTCGTTGGCACTTGCGAACGATTTATGCGAAGTCATGGCAGATGGTCAAGCGTGCGAATGCGCGCGATTCTGGGCGTTTTTTNTTTTTTCCGGCGCTTGCCGTATGTCTTTGGGGCGTGAAACAGGGGAAGCGTGTAGATGGCAGTGGAAGTCGCGTATTGGAATCGACTCACGAACCACCTCTCCCAGTTGGCCGAAATTCCAGGGACCTAGCTAAGCCGCTGTCCCTGCTAGCGGGCGGATCTTCTCCTTAAGCAGGCAAATAGAAGACCATGAATTTCCATCGCCTCGCCGTCGCCTCCATAACCCTCACCGATATTTTCACCAGTCAACCATTTGCGTGGCCCCGCCCCATCAGGTTTCAGCTGCCTTTTCTGATACTATGACGGGCCACGAGATGTTCGTGTCTTGCCAGCTTTTCTGATGTTCTTTCTGAATGACTACTACACTTGCAAGTGTTCATGTTAGCCTCATCTTTCTTCTTCGGGAAGGGATTACAGAAGGAGGTGCGTTGCAGCGGCAAAGAGTGCTGCACATGCGGCAGCCGATGCTCTTATTCCGACTTCGTTACTCCTGAGTATTTAGAAAAAGGTAGGTACTGTACTTTCATAGCCGACTTCACTGTACTCATATGTCGAACTTTTGAGGAAGACCTGATAAAACTGCCCCAAACGGCTTGTAGATGCGAATTCATTCGGGAGGTATAGGCTGGAGAACAAACGGAGCGGCATACAAATTGTTCCTGTGGTCTTGGCAGCTCGCCAGCACTGACATCAACTCAGCTCCCAGCTGGATTTGGCATTTCCTTTCGCCTTTTGTTGTTCTGTTTTTAATGCTACCGGGGCGTCTGCTATAGCCGTTTCGGTTCCAATCGATTAGCATTGAAATCCTAAGAGCAGCGGGGCCATAATCTTTCGTCATTCCCATTGCAACTCATAAAATGTCCCAATCTCCATAAAAGCGATAGGCCGTTTACGGAGCGAATTGGACGTATTGAACGTCGGAGAAGTGCCGCTTTCGGACGAGAAAGCCATTACGAGTAAGGGGCTCCTGCCTTACATACATGCGCATGTGTCCTACACGATTATAATTTGTCAGTGTCAGGCGAAGGAATGACTGTTTGATGTTTTTTCCCGACGAGTCTAGTATTAATTGACCTGCCAGAGGGGCGGGGAGCTTCGATAGGCTGAGTGGGATTAGAGACAGGCCCACGGACCATGCTTCTGGCAGGGACGCAAAGCTTAGAAGTATTCGGGAGATTCATGTAGAAGAGCCTACGAAACAACCACTCAGTGGAGGTGTTGAACGCAGGAGCACAGAACAGCGCCTTCTATAAACGCACTATGCGGTGCGGGTCATCATCCCTCTACACCTCTTGGCGCAAATTCAGAATGGGCTACTTCATTCCATTATAAAGTAAGTCTCTGGCGTGTGGCACCAAAGCAAATGCACCAGTGCATCCATCAACTGTTCCCTAATTTGATTATATTGTTGACTTTTATGGCTACGTTCACGATGACTTAGAAATAAGGGTTTTTATAGTTATTCGTGTGAGAGTCGTGGTGAAATGCATAAAAACAAATGTGTCGCCGGAATGTGGTTCAGCAAATGATATATTTCTTTTGCCCTGGAAATGGTCTAAGACTGAAGGTGGCGGTCACGATCTTGGTTTCCCCCATTTGCAAGCATGACTTAGCGGATTCTATGTTTGAGAGCTTAGGCAGCTTGCGAGAGACTTCTTTGCCAATCAGTCCACGGATTCATCGTTGAGGAGATTGGATGGCAGCTGAGCAGACTCTTCAGGGATCATCACATCCTCCGTGTGTAGTGCCTCAACAAATGTTGTTTTCTATGAGGAGCATGTTGTCCCATTGATTTGGGAGGGCATCACTCCCGGTGGGTCTCCGTTCTCGCCCATTTTTCCATCTGATAATACACTTTCGACCCTCATTCATGTGCATCTTCGTTCCCAAGTAGAGCATTCTTTTTTGGGGGCTGTAAAGCACCAGTTCTCTTTAGGGCCCATTTCCGAACAAGATGTTCCGTGAATCCGGTCCGGAAGTTCCATCGATGAAGTGCGGCGTTCCGCAATGTTAGCTAAGCATTGACGTTCAAAAACAGCGGCGGTTCTATTCATAGACTAGTCGCTCTCTTATCGCTGTTGTAGCAGCAAATGAGGAGGCGCAAAAAACTGTTGACAACGATGAATCGCCGCTTAGCACGACTACTTGTGTAACCCTTGATTTCAACAATACTAAGAGATGGTTTACGAAAAAAGAAATGACAACATTCGCGGAAGCTCAGAATGAGCCGTAGTCACACCTCGCTATTCGTAGTTAGGGGACATATATGGAAGTTCCCTCACCCAAGAGTAGATGAGTGTAAGCTTTGGTATGAGCCAGTTGTTGAGTGACGACCTTCACGTACACTCGTACTGCTGTGATTTCGTTAGAGAGACAACGACTTGAGGTGCATCAGGTGGACGAGTCGACTTTGTGGCTTCGCATGCTTGCCTGGCGATTGGGCCTCCGTCAGCTGTGCCCAACGGTCGTAGTTCGTTCACATTTGCTTGCTCGAATGCAGGCAGTGCGGCCAGAAGCAACGACGGATGACGTCTGGACTACAGACTGCGACGTCTCCGCTTCATTCACTTTACCGTCTGTAGCTTCCATTTCCTTGAAGCCGTCCGTCAGTAGTCCCTCTGACGATGCCAGCAGTGATCACTCCGAGGACGACCACTTTGTCTCCTGTGAGTGTGTATTAGTGTGGTCCCACTCTTTACTAACAATTTCCCCATTCGTGCACGACAAGTGTGTCTTTTATTTCCTCGTAAACTTGACTGATTAGCATAGCAACAACAACTCTGTAGGTTACTCTGTGATTGCGGGTTTCACTAAGCCCAACGTCTAACAGCGTCCTAGTGAGTCTCGACAACTGTTTTGTTTTTATAACGTCAACTTCAAGCCACATGATGATAAGGGTACCCTCCAGTATTCGACATAAAAAACAAATGTGTACGAAGGCGCTTTTGGGAGATTCGTGATAGCGGGTGATATTCGTGTAGCAAATTTGTCTGGGAAACCTTTGAGTTGTTTCCCCGGGGCAGTTGGCAAAATCGATGCAGCGCTCTTGCCGATTCGACAACGTTCAATCTTGTACGTATTAAACTTGTGTAAGACTGGCGTGGGGGTTTACTGATTTCCAGGGAAGAAGTGCCTATCTGTGAAACCCAACGCATTATTGCATCTGGAAATAGCAGCACCCTTCTTGCGACCGCCATTAGGGGGCCATATGGATTTATCTGGCGCTCGCTCACTTGAATAGAGGGATATAAACCGTCAGAGGAATGCGATGATCAACCCAGACTCAACACTCTGGGATTCCTTCTTGGTGACTCGATGTAGCAACTTGTGGGAGCCGCCTTCAAGCGGTCAGTGTAAGCGGTAGTTATACTCTGTAATGAGCCTGAGCGAATGCAGTTATGCAGCTATAAATCTCCTAAGTTCAACAATAACCAATATCAACAAAGCATTTAGGGTGAAAGCTTGACCTTTCATTTTCTCTGGTTAACCTTCAACCTTTTCCACGAGCTTTTAATAATCGGTATGGCTCTGACGAAGGAGCATTCGAAGTCCCACAAGCACATTTGGCGTGTCTAACCTCCATCTTCCAGCTTACGAGGCAATGGTCCGCGCTATGAAAATAAAAGGGCGTTCAAGCACCCGCTCCGTGGAGCACCCATCCAGCTGAATCCGTGGGCACCCGTCTGTCTCAGCTGCTACAGTAACCACAGCGATCAATCGACCAATCATCGCGCATCTCGTAGATCAACGCAGAGAGACGCAGCCGGTCGTGGTTTCCTACAGTGCCCACGTCGCTACCTCGGTCTGACCCTGCGGCAGGGCGCCTAGATGAGGCACATAGAGGGAAGTGCCGCCATGTCGAGAGTAACGTAGTGTGAGGCTGAGGAACAGGAGGGTTGGCGCGCGCGAGGCGGGTGCGTCGCGGCAGCCAGCCCAATACGGGTGCTCCGGTCCATGCCTGCCTGAGGCAAGATATGTCCTCCAGCAACAAGAAGCTTCAGATCAAGTTCTGTGAGTCCACTATTACTTTTTCACCTTTTTTCCACCCATAAACACTCGGGCTGACGTTTGCTGCGAATGCGTGCCAAATGCGAACGCGCTCTCGGGTCCGGATGGTCCCATGAGAGAAGCGGTAGCGTTTGAGGGTAGGAGACAACGTAGAAGTGTGGTGTGACGTGTGCTTGAATTCGCTTATCTGTTGCCATCTATCTGAAAAGCTCATTTTTCAGTCAAGGAGTTTCTGGAGAAAGCTCGAGAGGATTTCAAGCAACGGTGGGAGAACCCAGCTCAGGTGAGTCGAACTCAAAGATTCATCGCCAAGCTCTATCGTGCTTCACGCTATCTTCTGCTTCGCATTTCGCTGTTTCTTCGATCTCCCATGTACTGCCCTTCCCCAGTCCTCGTTACTGCCTTTCTTACCCACACTTTTTATGCGGGAACCTCGAATTCTACAGAACTTTGCTTTCTCATTGAACTTCTGCTCGAGAAATTCAGGCCGAAATGCAGCCTCTTGCCTCAAGGATATTTCAGCGCGGCTCGCCGCCGCAGGGAAATGAACCAATGCCCCCTTGAATCACTCACTCATCGAATCAAGCATTAGGGTAATGTCCTTGTCCCACTTTTTCCATATCCCGGTTCTAGTCCTTCCCCATCCTTGTCCCACTAATTCCACATCCCCGTTGCTCAGTGCTACCGTCTGAGCAGCGGCACTCCTCTGCTGTTCATAGGGCTGTTCTGCCGTCGTCGTTCAGGATACATGTGGCAGCTATCGATCTGGCAGTGCTATTTTTATCCATCCGGCATGCTAGCCGCGGCGCCACTCGTCGCGTAATTTCATACGTGGGAGTGTTCGAACCACCGCAATCGTTGGCTAATTGGAAAAGCTTAGTGCGGGGCTTCATTAACACTTCAAGACCAGCCCTCCCAGTATCCCATTCCAAGAGGCTATGGGGTAAAATTCATTAAATTTTAGCGCTGCAGTGTCTCACTAAACGCGGTACATTCCTGGAGGGACCCTTTCCGCGGTGCTGTTTTTTACCCGGGGGCTGTTTCAGTGAATAGGCGATAGCGATGAACTGACGATGAGGCATCCTTTTGTTCCTCATAGACGTTAGGCTGAATCATATTACAGAGGAGCTGGACGTCGGGGAAGGGGGCTGGGACTCTACATTCTGCCCCTTCGTCGATCTGTGCTGGGCTCCATTAGGGTGCAGAATCTCTTTTATCGCCCTCATTGCCAAAAGTTCTCCGCGTGAGTGCTGCTGTACGCAGCCGGCACTCTGCTTCACTCGTCTTGGACAGAAACATAATGCACTGAGGTAACCAATTCATCAACATTCCCTTCCCAAACTCTTGCTACTGAAATACCCGTCCACAGGACCAAAACAGTCACTGCACTGGGGCAAAGCGTTGTTTTCGCTTTCGCGTTCTAAGCATTTGCTGCTTAACGTGAAAATAACAACATGAATACTAACTCGTGACGGGAAAGTGGTTCAGGAAGTGTTGGCTGAGGAGGAAAACGATTTGTCGAAGGAGAGAGGAACCTTTGTATCGGAAGAGTGCTAGAAGAGCGTTCGTAGAAATGAGCTTCTAGTGACCATACAAGTCTGCCTTAGATGGAACCTGTCCAGAATTGAGACAGCCGTCTACCAGATTCCGTAGGCCGTGTCGGGCCGTACGAGCGACGATCTCACTATTGACAGCGCAACGGAGCGATAAGTCTGTCAAATGAATTAAACGGCGCTTGCACTACAAACAAATTGGAAAGAAGAAACCAGACGCCCCGTCGACGTCGTCTGAACCGTTGAGGCTCGTCAACATGTTCCTGATAACTATAAATGGCATATTCATGGCTGATAGTTTAGGTCTGAGCACCTGCACTCCGCCGCACTCGATCGCGTTTGTTGTTTTTGCATGGCGCGACCATAAAGTTCCGCGTTAGCAGTATTTCTGCGTTTCCTATTTTGAGTATGATTGGCGGTCTCAACATGCGTGCTAAAAATAGAAATTGCCGGCGCTCTCCCACGTGTATTGTGCCTACAAAAGAGCCGGTTTGCCTAGTTTCTCTCGCGTTTCCGCGCTTCGTCGGGGACACTCTCCCCGTCATCTCGCCCCAGCCCTCCGCGCGTACCGTACTCTCAGCAGGTCTTCTGCTTCGCCTGCATCGCCTCCATCGACAAGCTATTCGTCCTGTCCGCGGCTGCCCGTCCGCGCTCGACACACTCCATCCCTTCGCACTGATCGTTCCGTGTCTCTGAAGGCAAAAAGCCTCAGACTCCACCCCTCGTCGCTCCATTCTGAAATTTCTGTTCCCTGTAGCCATCATATCATCGAACAAGCTGTTGTCCCTGTATCCAGAAACCGATCGAAGGCCCAAATGCCTCGGCGATTGGGCGTCACCACAGCGAAGCGTCTCAACTTCGACGTCGTGCGACTCGTCCCCACAACAGGAAATACACCCCCTGCTTCGATGTAGTCCACTCAGACCATGTGACATTTCATCACCATCTACTTCTAAAGGGACATTCCCTCTTACCAGAACCACAACCTTCCACGGAGGACTCAGTTCTGGCATGGCCGTCAAGAAGCGCCGCTCCTCCAGCTCTCCAGAGGAGTCGCGGTACCGTGAGAAGGTTCCTCATTTGGAAGAGAGGACCTCCTATACCCATTGCAAAGATCTTATGGAGCCCTCGACATCAAGTGGAACAGTTTCCAGTGATAACGACACATCGAAGATTTCCGTGGGCCGGAAGGATGTGAATCTGACTGCTGAATTATTCTGGCTAAAAACTCAGCTCTCGGAGCATTGGTCCATGAAGTGGCTTTGGCAGGTAGTATTTGATTTTACCCCCCATCTTTCTTCATGCCATTGATTTTTCATGACAGCCGTCGATTGGCTCTTATTTCTCCATAGATCAGCCGATGTTTTCACGTCCACCACCAGCACGAGGCGCTGTTATTGCGGCGGTATCGACTACCGAAACTCCAAATACACTGTCCATTGTCCCAATATTCGCACTTACTTTTCTCTTCATAGCCAAGTATCACCTACTTTTCGCCGATCCGAATGACCCCATGCGCTTTGAACTTTTTTTTTGTTTATACTTTACGAGGCGATGAAATTTATGGAGGAAATTCAACAGCGTTTTATGAATCACATACAATAGTTGCGATAGCCTTTCGTCTTTGAAGACACAATCGTTTCAAAAACAGATCGTGTGAAATCAACGCACCCCCGGAAAGGCCTGGGGCCGAACGCCCTAAGGTTTGCTTCTTCAGAACCAGATTTTCCCCGTTCGGAACATCCCAATGATTCTCACTAGCACCTTTTTGAAACCCCTAGTTAGTCATGGCCACGGTAGGAGAGAAGATTCCCATGGTTGATGAGGAATCAGATGAGGAAGATGGGAGCAGCAACGGCTGGTCGGTTGAGATTGCCTGGTATTGGCAGGCTGCTCGAACCTCATAACTCGTCCTTATTGATAGGCATCAGTGCCCTTTCCCTATGCAGATGCTCCGGCCAACGGGACCGCGAGTGCAACTGAAATAATGCATCCCGTTCCCATCCTTGTCCTCTTGGGAATGGAAAATAAAATAAAAATTGTGATCGATTGAGGGATGTGTTTATACTTCCTTTTTGAATTTTTTTTGGTTCTCTTCAGTTAATCGTCGTTTCTTTTCAGAATACCGCATCCCTTGATGACTTTGATCGTATCAAAACATTGGGAACCGGCTCATTCGGGAGGGTGATGCTCGTGAAGCATAAACAATCTGGCAGCTACTATGCAATGAAAATTTTAGATAAGCAAAAGGTTTGGCTCCTCGTCTTGGCTTGGAGAATTCCTGACGTACAGTTGATGTTGTTTGTAGGTTGTGAAACTGAAGCAAGTGGAGCACACGCTGAACGAGAAGCGAATCCTTCAAGCAATCGACTTTCCTTTTCTCGTCAATATGCAGTACTCCTTCAAGGCAAGTTTCACTTTTTCGACATCCTTCCGCTATTTCTAGTCGTTCCCAAACAGGCCGAATACCCTAGCGTTAGCCGGTTTGTCCCATGGATCCATGCCCTTTCCCGCCATGACGTCGTGTTTTGTGTGTCTTTTTCACTATTTTTATAATTCCACTTTGGTCTACGAAGTACAGAGACGCTGCGAGGCTCCCTAGGAAACCCAGGCATTTCTTGTGGAAAACCAACTGATTTTCATTCTAGCGGTTTTCCGATCGAATGGTGAAGTCGGAAGGAGGAAAGAGCGATCGCAACGGCTAGCCTGTCGGCTTGCGCTCCTTCGCTGCTTCTTCGTTTGTTTGCTCTGCCGATGTATTGACAAACGGGTCAGGAATAGCCCATCACGATCCCCAGTCTCTTCCTCCCCAATCTCACTGAACTTCTACATGACTTCTACTAAACTGCAGTGGTCGTAGCGTAGAGGTTGTATTTCATAACATCGCACTACTTCCCGAGCCTTTTTGGATTCGTTCCCCCTCAACAGCTAGCGCGTGGAGTTGTTGTCAGTTTTGCAAGTTATGCCAGAGACGGCTAAAAATAGCCGGCCGTCTATGAGGTGCCATGGATCGAACAACGTTTTATGCCGAGGCGCTTGTTAAAAATAGCCTTCAATCGGCATTATTTCCACGCAAACAGGCCTACTCCAATAGCATGAGCTATAAACGCCAGTGGAATTGAGCGGAACGCGCAGATTTTCCCACATGATGGATCATATGAATCGATATTGTCTGTTCGGGAGCAAAGGAAATACAGTGTTTGGATATGTGGCCAGCGATATCCTTTTCTGGGTTATTTTTAGAAGTTCCATTATTGATGATAACAGCATTAAGAGGATCTTTCGTTATCTTGAAGTCGTTATTATCTTCTGTTTACGTCTTGTTGACTACTGAGCCCATGTAAGTCGAATTCTACATCGAGCAGCTCTTGTGGATTCCACTGATTAGTAAATAAGGGTAGGGCATAGGTACCAACTCGGAGACGCCCTACTATTTTACTCATCCATCAGATCTCGTAGATTCCAACTCGCATCTCGCTTATTGCTCTGGGAGGTACTCTACCCTAAGAAAACGCAGAGATGTTAGATCAATAAAGAAACGAAGACGAAAAACACCCTACCTCTCCCTACTCGCAAGCCTCTGCTCCACTGAGATCCCTGCTTACAAGCCTTTGATCCAGGAAACCCCTACTCGCGAACCTCTGCTACTTTGAAACCTTGTTTGAATGCTCTTCTGCTCTTGTAGCTACCCGACAGATGTTAAAATCCTCCAGTTGCAAACCGGTACCTGGTAAACGATCCCAGCCTAAGAAGTTTAAAATATTTGTCTGTTCGATTAGTCACAGCGCCTCTTGGCACTTTACCATCTTACTTTATTTTGCTTAGCATAAATAGTCCTAAGTTACATTTCAGGACAATTCAAATCTCTACATGGTGCTCGAATTCATTTCCGGTGGTGAAATGTTCTCTCATTTGCGTCGAATTGGNCGACAGATGTTAAAATCCTCCAGTTGCAAACCGGTACCTGGTAAACGATCCCAGCCTAAGAAGTTTCAAATATTTGTCTGTTCGATTGGTCCCAGCGCCTCTTGTCACTTCACCATCTTACTTTATTTTGCTTAGCATAAGTAGTCCTAAGTTATATTTCAGGACAATTCAAATCTCTACATGGTGCTCGAATTCATTTCCGGTGGTGAAATGTTCTCTCATTTGCGTCGAATTGGGCGGTTCGTTGCTTAACAGACTTTCACTAATTAGCACAATCAGATTACCTTCAAATAAGACACTTCTGAGAAGCGTTCCTCTCTTTTATAAGACAGGGCAATGGCGTTTTTCAGTTTCTCCGAGCCTCATTCGCGGTTCTATGCGGCACAGATAGTGCTGGCATTCGAGTACTTGCACTCTCTCGACTTAATCTATCGAGACTTGAAACCAGAAAATCTGTTGATCGACAGTACAGGTTACCTGAAGGTTGGACACAGTTATTCTAGCGGTAGCTCTGGGACATTGCTGTTGAAAACGGCTGATTCTTCCAGATCACTGATTTCGGATTTGCAAAGCGGGTCAAAGGTCGCACCTGGACGTTGTGTGGGACTCCGGAGTACTTGGCTCCAGAGATCATCCTTTCCAAGGTATGGCGTAATTAGTAATTCAAAATGAAATTAGGTATTTTTTAATCTTTTCAATTTTTCAGGGCTACAATAAGGCAGTAGACTGGTGGGCCCTTGGAGTGTTGATTTATGAGATGGCTGCAGGTTATCCGCCGTTCTTCGCCGATCAGCCCATTCAGATCTATGAGAAAATCGTTAGTGGCAAGGTGAGCTGCATAGCTGATATCGGTTTTAGCTATTCGCTTCCAAGGGGCATCCATTAGGATATGCTCGATTGGGAAATATCAATTCGAAAATCCAAGATTACTGGGGTGGGTGGAATTAATATGCTTTTAGTGGCATAGACAACAATTTAAATCCGTTTTTCCTTGAACTCGAGTTGATTTGAGTGGGGGTGCACCCTCGTTAGGGATTATCATGAAGGTACTAGGTTTTGGGCAAAACTCAGCCCTCAAACAGGGCTCGATAAACTCGGAACTTTCGGGATGCCGTTCGTGTCGTGCATTGTGGCCAGCCCGATTTCTCCTGTATTTTATCGTGAAACAGCCATAAAACAGTAGTAATCGGGAGAAGTCTGCGGGAGGTTCTGCAGAAAATATCCTTCGGGGACCACTGCTTATCTGATATGCGAAGATGGACGTGGGAAGGGGTAGGTAATAGCTGAAGGATCGTTTCCTCAAAGGCTTTGGTAGAAGCTGCAGCGAGGGTCTTATGGCAGGTGGGATGCACTCCTGTGTCTGGACTTCTCCAGGGGACGAAACGATGTGCTTCGAAAGTGCCCTTTTATGTCAGGTTATAGCCGTATGCTCCTCTTTAGAGGTAAACTCAAACTCTGGTGGTGGTTGCGACTGTTTCATTGAATTAGGATCGTGGTTCGAGCGTTTTCACAACCCAGCTTATTCCTATAAGAAAGGCCTACGGATAGGTTTGATAATCAGTATTCTTCCATTATGGGCTTCATATTCTTAAAAAGATCTAAGTAATGTTTTTGTGGGATGAGCCCCACATTCGACTTCCATTCGGAGTCGTTGTGGCGTTTTGAATGCATATATGACCTATTCAATGACCTGTCAGTGCTTATATCCTCCATTCCAGTCAAGTCGAGTGCCTATCAGTCGACCGTGGATCTATGGAGGGCATAGTTTTCCTGGGCGGGTATCGGTGACTCGAACCTTGGACCATGCGTGTGATAGTGCGCCACATACCATTACACCGCCTTCATCTTCATTCAAGTATAGAATACGAAAAGAGTGGAATCCGATAGCAAGTTGACCGCAAACTTCGAAAACTCGCTATTATTCGAGTGGATCTGAATCCCTCTTCTGTAATAATACTAATACTTTGGGGTTTCCATAGGAAAGAAGCAAGAGCTTTGTTTCATCACGGATATTCCTCATTTCAGGTGAAATTCCCTTCACATTTCTCCAACGAGCTGAAGGATTTGCTGAAGAATTTGCTTCAAGTCGATCTGACAAAGCGCTTCGGTAATCTGAAGAACGGCGTCGCTGACATCAAGAACCACAAATGGTTCGGCAGCACCGACTGGATCGCGATCTATCAGCGAAAGGTAGCGAGAGTGTTCAGTTGTGTGAGCTTAAGCGTGTGAGCGGGTTTGGAGCCTCTACTAACAGCACGCTTTGCTCTTTCTCACACAGGCCTCAAACGGCCTCATTTTAATCTGCCTTTTCTGCATGATTTTGTTTGCTTTCTGGTGTGGTTGAGATGTACTGTGCTTGTGTGTAGATCACTCCGGCGTCGTTCTCCAAGTGTGAACCAGGACGCCTTCTGGAGGCTCTCTATCCACGTGTCGAAGGACCGGCTGACACTCGACACTTCGTCGAGGAAGTGAAAGAGGACGAGAACTGGACCATCTCCGACGAGAACCACTTCGCTGAAACATTCGCCGATTTCTGAGGTTACTCTCCTGCCACATTCAAATAGAGCTCTTAGGGCTTTACAAGGGAGAATGGAGTAACTCTCTAGACCTTCTTTTGCATGTCACTTGTTATTAGTCATTTTCGGGTAATATTGTGCTGCTTACTATGAACGTGTCGTTTTCATGAGCATGACTACTATCAGTTTACTACTTAATTCGTTTTCAAGACTGCACGAACAGACTGAGATCTGCTCCTTTCTCACAATTTAGCTTTCGTTTGCAAACACACAGATCAGTTCTGGAATCTTCAGATTGTATGCGAGGTGACCACATATATTTCCAGGTAGAGGCGCCTTTCCTACCGAAATGTCGCGGTCCAGGCGATGCCTCAAACTTCGACGACTACGAGGAAGAGCCGCTGCGTATCTCGGGCACCGAGAAGTGTTCCAAGGAGTTTGCCGAGTTCTAACACCAACCGAGGCACTTGCTGTTATTGTAGCCCGTTCGCCATACACCCTCCTTTCCTCGACTCTTGCCGTCCGTCTCACCAGCATCTCCGTATGTCTCTGCTAGCATCTCCGCTTCCGTAGTGTTCTGTCCCGGTCCCTTCTGTTCGTGGTGTCCGCTCCCGGTGAGAGCATCAGTCCTTACTTTATCCCCGTCTCGATACACGCCTATCTTGCCTCCGAACTACTTAGAACGCTGTGTTCTTTCCCTCTTCGCCACCCCTTTCTAGTCATTCGTTCACTTTTGCCTACTATTTGTATCCTGCACCTTTCGGTCCAGTCGTATCCGAGTCACCCAATACCACATTAACCCCCCACACTGCACTTGCCGCGTCCATGCTCGCGCTTATAATCTTTGTTCCTTCCATCATCACATCGTCATCGTTTGCTGTTCACTAGTGTTCGTAGCGACCTCGGCATGATTCAGTCCGTTTCCTAGTCCTTCCGAGTTCGTCTGCCCACTCATGCGTGGTGGCACCGAACTCGTCAGTGTTCTAACATTGTACGGATCAAATGTGACATCGTTTCTTCTGCTGACAAGTTTTGTAGGCTCTCTATTGTGTGCACTGCTTGGCTGCCCAGTCGCGCTATGTTTTGTAAGTATTTGGGTACGTCTTGCAGTCCTCATTAACTTGACAGTGAAGCCGTACAATGCCAGGCATTCAGTCATTGTGCGGCTTCTATTTGTAAATTTCTATGTTCGTCTTTAATATATTATGTCAATTGGTACTCATTGATAAGTGATTATAGCTTTAAATTTTGTCGATAAAAGAGTTTATGTCTTATGATTGGCTTAAACCGAAGGGGCGCAATAGAATTGCCTAACAGTGAACAAAATTTTTCACTACCTTCCCGTATCAGCTGCGCGTTGTGAAGCCTCTTTCGGGCATCGGAAAACTACTATGGGCTTTTCAGTAAAACAAAACGAACTGAAAGCTAGGGTAACGTACGTAATTAGCTGGAACTGTACAGGTAATTGGCTCGTGTTTTGACTTCCACAGCTGGCTAGTACTCAAACCAGTTCCTCAATTTCTGAGTAGTAAAACAGAACACAAGCAGCAAGGTCCTGAACGTAGAAACTCGATTCGTTTAAAGGCACAGTTTATCTTAAAAATGGTTCATGAGGTTTCCTTCTAGGATGAAGCTATGACCTTCAAGGATGGCCTACGGGACGCTGTCGGGTCGGGAAACAGTCGGGACAGGATGAAAAAGATCTCCCAAAAGGGACTTGGCCGGCCAACACACCAGGACACGAGTTGTTAAGCGTTGTGAAAGCTGTATATGTTGCACCATTCGCACCAAGACCTATACCTTGCACGCAGGCAGCGTATTGCAGCCAGCTGTATGCAATGGCTTGGGAGTTCGCACAACTCGTCCAATACCCTTCCCATGCAACTTCTTTTGTGATATTCTCGTCCATCCCCTGTTTTTGAAGTCCCTTATTTATGTAAATACGCTGATTTTTCGCGTTTTCTTCGACACTTTTGCACTACTCTGGAATACCACATCCTTTACTCGTTCGAAACTACTTAACCCAAAATTATAGTGCACTGTGCTTTCTCGATAGACCTCTTCATTTTATTGAAAAGACTTTTGTTAGCACAATTCAACACGAGTTTGAAAAATACCTTGAATAACTAACTTTCTTGTGAAACGCCTTCCCTGAGGATGAAAGATGGAATTTACTGATAAGGTGGTACCAGAACTTTCCCATTTACTACTGCCTTCAGTACTCCTCATGTGGTTGCGCCTTTAGGATGAGTTATAGGATTTTTGGATTTTTTACTAGAATCGGTACTGCGGATGTACTCATCCTGCGTTAAACACCCTCTGTTTAATAAATGCGAGATGATCATCGACCAACAATGCATGTCTGTAGACTTCCGAAGTTGTAAACAAAACAAAACATTTTTGTTTTTGTGGCTTTCGTCGTGTTGTAGTTACAAATGAAAACATATTTGTACCGAACCGACTCACATTTGCCTAAGTTCCTTCCTTCAAACATAGGGGATTGTATTTTAGCAGCACGCAACCAACGAATAGCGTTTGAGAGGGGTAAGGGTAACACAGATGCGGCTCATACATAGCTATACCACCAAAGGGACACAGTAGATTAATCGGTTTTTGGCTGCTAAAATATTGAACGTGCTGTAAAATCTATGCAAAGAAAATCGCCGAAATATTTTGCAAGCACTTCGAGCAGCTTCATGCAATCGCAGAAAAAAATCCGCCTGTAATTCAATGCAAAGGGCGCTTTTCATGGAGGAGCATGCAGCTTCCTATGTTCAAAGGGAAACTTGCAAAGGCACGACCTCCATATTAGACGAATTGAGCGTGACTTTCAGTTATTTTTTGGGGGTTGGAACTTGGATTGCGATACCAGGAACGGTACTGCAGAACTGTATTAAAGGCACCGTTGGCGATAAATTTAGGGTAGCCTTTTTGACGAGAATTGATAGAACTTCTCTAGAATAAAGCGATAACAACGAAAAAGCGCAAAAACGATGAACAAAAAAGCTACAAAGAGTCAAAAAGAGCTGGAAAGGGGGGTTGGACGAGTTTCACATTGAAAGAATGGCGGTTAGGGAGTTTTTGGGCCAGTGCACGAAGGCGACGCAATGTCTGCAATAGCAGACAACACACCCAAACAGATGATTTAGACTACAGTCTTGAACCTGGCAATTCGCCAACCAGCTTATCGATTTTTCACCAACTTCGCTCCAATGCGAAAGTGGGGAACGGCAATTAGAGTTCGTAGTCAGCCTAGCGAGGGGCGGAGGGCGACCGTGAATAACTCTCCTGCCCCTTATTGTGCCCTATCCAGACCGTTTTCCGACCTCATTCCTGCACACATGGTATCAGAGGGGGCGTCGAATTTAAACCAAGTACAAAACTACGAAACCATTTTTTCGTGAACAGTGCCTTTAAGTCTCGGAATGACGGTTCTTCGTGTTTCCTCCGCTTAATGAATGAGCACAAGAGAAAACGATAGAGGTATATTCGAGACTACGCGAGTTGATGCACCACATCTGAAAAGCGGTGTAGATGAAGAAAACATCATCAGAAATCAATCAGTTTTTCAAATTATAGAAAAATTTTCTTCTCAGCGTATCAAGTATTACGCACCTACGGTGAAAAGTTGAACTGAAGTTGCTTCTGTGTGTGAAAACAAGCTCACTGAAAAAATTATTCACTTCTTCTTCGAATCCATTTCATAATTATCAAGACTTAATGATGCTGACCACGGCTGCTCAAGGCTACTGGCGCTGCTCAATTCCTATTCGCAAATACTGACGGTTCGGAGGAGTGAGCTGAATAACTGAGACAGAAAAAGGTTTCTATTGAACCCCAAGTTCATATACGACCGCTCGAAATGGAGTTGCCTTTTTACGAGCGCTAACAGAGCGCTTCTTGTAAATACATATATAGGGCGCTATCTCAGGAACGTAGGGCATTTCCCAGCACTGAAGCAGCAACGCAGCATGCTTTCAAGCAGGATACTGAGGAATCCCTCACTTGCTCGGCCAGGAATATGTTACCCACTGGTTTTCCAGCAGGAAGAACCTGTCAAGGGCAAGGTGGAAAGACTCCCACCCTGCCCACGACAGGTGAATCTGCATGAGATAGCCATGCATGCGCTAGCCCTTACTCTTAGACGTGGCCGATTCTCCGCACCGACTTCCTTAACATCATCAGAAATTGATCAGAGTGAGACTCATCCCATCGCTAATGGGGGACCGTTCGTCCGACTTCGGATCAGCACATTCTCGGGGGAGTTCAGTTAGTCCCTACGCTATGTTGAATGACCGTGCTCATCATGGTCAAACTGTGCGATCACCTGTGTATGGACCATCTGTTTTATTCGGGGCACTGCTAAATTTTCTGCTCTGAAATGGCTCCAACATAGCGGTTTGTTAGCACCGTAACAATCCGTTGTATTCCCTTTATCTCAAAACAAAACTTTGCCCAAAGACGAGGCATTGCACACGGTAACAGGTTATGAGTAACAGATGCCAACCATGAGTTCTTAGGTCCCACGTCACAGAGCGCCCACGTTCGTTNTAAATTTATTCGTCCATAGTTGAGTGGCCGCTTGCAAAAACTCAGTACGGCAACTTCCTCATCCCGCGAAAATTTATGCAATTGAGTGAGAACGTATGGTAAGCCAGGTGGCTGTGGCTTCCATTTGAGGTATTTCTGGACCAGTAATTGAAGTAACATCCACATTGCGAGTCTGCAAGAAGCCCCGAGCAAAATGATTGGAATGTTAAGAGGATGCGAATGATTTATATGCTTTTATGGAGGTTGATCGGCCGCTAGACACTCGAGTATTCAGCACTTTGGAAAAGATAAGTGCTCCTCACGGATAGGATCTCCAACTTCTCTTTCGGGAGGTGGCCGAATCGAAGACGAAATCATGCAGCGTTGCTACGACGCCGTTTGCTTCATCGACGGTTTTTCAACTCTCTCAAAGAAGATTGATCCACGCTTTTTAAGTAATAAACACTTTGCTCTGAATGCTTAGAGTAATAATACCACGGGTATCACATAACTTGATCTGTAGCCATTCGCCATAACCATTCGTGCTATGCGTTCCAGAAGTTCAATGAATCCGGCTTCATCAAAGATGCAGGAGACTTCAGCTTCTCTGGATGTAGTGTAAATGTGGACGCATCTTACATCATCGCTTAACTGTTCAAGCCCACTGGAACCTCTTTATGGCTCAACCTTTCAGGGCGGAGTCGTGAAACCAACGCAACGAGGAAACCTTTGGCGGAAACCACACCGAACGGCGTCGACTCTCGTGTTCCTTCTCATCACATGCCCATCGTCTTTCCCATCTCATGGGCGAAGATTCCGTACCAAGAGCTGACTTGTATCTTGTTGCCGTGGTAGAGTCGTTGTGGGATCATTCTATGCCCATTGCTCGCATGTGCGTTTCTTGTTTAATGATATAAATTCG